CCCCCCCCCCGCCCTTTAAGCCAACTCTTTTCTGATTGGCTTTCTCTTAAAAACAAAAGATTTGATCGTATTAGGGATATCTGCTCTCATCGATCATACAGTGCCATGAGTAGGAAAGAAAAAAGGCTCAGTTTTGAAGTGTGTGGCTCACGGGGTTACTGCATATATGCTGACACGCTTACTTGAAACTGCATACGCCAGTGTAACAGTGCATATTTGCCAGAAAACGAGGAAGAGCATAATAAGTCCACTTTAATAGTCTCATGCTGAAATGAACGACTGAAAACACAAAAAATAGTTTTTATCTCACTGTTTGTAAAGTGTAAAAAGAAAAAAAAATATGGACTTTTTTTTAAAAAAACAAAACAAAAACATTTTAATAATCTATTTTGAGGAACATGCAGACAGTTCTGCATGATATGTGTAAATGCCCTTGTCAGCTGCCAGGTCCTAAATACTGTAAACTCTACAGTGTGCATGTTTAGTGCATTTCACATTGTGTATTTTTGTAATTGCTGTAGAAACGTGTATTATAGTCTGAGACAAAGGATCAATTGTGGCTTGTTTTTTCTTTTTGTGAATTGAAGAAATGTGTTGCTCCCTGCTAAGAGAGAGAGAGACAAACAGAGGGAGGAGCATTATCTGGACGTTTGATTTGAGCTCTGTGGTCACACTCTGTCACGTACCAACTTGAACAGTCTAGACGCAAGAAACTGGGAAACACCACTGCATGAATGCCATGTAGTGAGCTGAACGTTCTTATAAACACTTTCACTTGAAATGCCGTGTATACACATTCTGCAATAAAATAAAAACCATAGAGTGCAAACTTGGATCTGCGTGTCATTCCTTCCCCCAGCGTTCACCTCTGTGATTGTGAGCCACGTGGTGTGGTTCTACTTGATAACCTTTGGAATAATCAGGTGCCGTAAAATGCTGCTGCTGCTGCTGCTGCTGCTCGCTTTACGGTGTTTGTCCAGTTTTTGCAGCTCTGCATTCATTCATGGTTTTGTTAATCAGTGCTCAGCGCTGCGTCTTTGGTCCCTGCGTCCATGGCAAAGTTAATGAGTCTGCTGTGGGGGGCTGGATCACCTCCCTGCTGGCGTGTTATGATCACTCTGGAGGAGAAGAAGCTGCAGGGTTACAAACGCAAACTGCTGTCCTTTGAGAAAGGAGAGCACAAATCTCAGGAAGTCTTGGTAGTCAACCCAAGAGGACAGGTAGGTGCACCACACCCATAATGATCACAGCAAAGCGTACAACCATGACATAACAGCCTTTAAAAAAAAAAAAAGAGTATTATAGTTATTTTAACACATATCAACAGGGGTAGCATCTGGATAGAAGACCAGTCTCTTACTGACAGAGATGAAGGCACAATGTGGGAGCAGCTAACACATAGACTGTATGTAAAAGATGTCTGTAGAGTCCCTGTTCAGGTGTGTCTGAAAGCTTGTTTTTCAAACTATGGGTACAACACACAAACAGGGGCATCTGCTAATTCGTCCTAAATAACGTGCTCTCAAAGGCACTAACAGCACAGATACAAGGTGCACTACACAATGATGAGCCTCAAAACCTGACGTCTTCTGCCAATTTTTTTCTGTCAGCTTCCCGCGTTCAAGCACGGAGACATCATCCTGAATGAGTCCTGTGCAACATGCTTATACCTCGAGGTAAACGGCAATATTTTAATTAATTACTTGAATTTATTGTATTTATAATTTGTTTAGCTTTTAATACACTGCTTTGATTATTGTTTTCTCACTGTTGAAACAGAATCAGTTTAAGTCTCAGGGCATCAAGCTGATTCCTGACAGTGCTGATGACCAAGCCACGATGTACCAACACATGATGGAGGGCCTTGCCCTCACTGATAAACTCAGTAAGTTACACTTGCACAAGTCTGAGCGCTGAGTTACAGAGGGGACAGAAGCCATGAAGACAGTCACACATTAATGTGCGTTCTGCTTCAGATTCAGTTATCTACTACGACTGCTCCGTCCCTGAAGAGGAGAGGCACGACTCTGCTGTAAAGAGAAACAAAGAGGCTCTGACTGCTGAACTCAAACTGTGGGAGGGTTACCTGGAGAATGTACGAACAATACGCACACACTTGTGTACACTTGCAGGCACTCACACACTGTGTTGACAGTACTGCGTCTTTCACTTCTCCATCTAGGTGGCTGCTGGCTCATACCTAGCAGGGGCCTTCTCCCTAGCCGATGTGATCGTCTTTCCAAGCATCGCTTGTGCATTTCGTTTCGGGTGGGTAGCTAAGCAGTTGATTTGTGTGAAGCTGCAGTCCAATCGCCTTTTTCCAGTAACATGATGTGTTTTCTCTTTAGGCTGTCTGTGGGGCGTTATCCTAAATTGGCCAAATATTACAGCCTGCTGAAGAACAGAGCCAGCATTAAAACCACATGGCCCCCACACTGGGTGGCCAGTCCACAGGGTTATGACATCCTGAAGGACCTCTGAAACACAAAGAATCCTCCCTTTGTCATTTTAGAGAATTCCTGTAAGTCTGTGAAATAAAAACATTTAAACAGCTTGCTTACTGTACTCTTAATTTTTCACAAGATTTTTTTTTATTCTTAAAACTTAACCACAGCAGCAACAAATCACCTTATAGATAAAGCTTTGTTAAAGCACTTTGGTTTTGGGTCCTTCTCCCATGTAGTGAGTGGCAATATGACCTTTTTGTAGTGCGAGGAGAAAGTTTTCCATCATGTTGGGCGGTTTTCAGAGTCACCTCCTCCATTCACATGTAGGATCCTAGAAGGGTCATTTCTAGGATGACTTTGTTCTCTTTATATGCTCCAATTAAGATCAATTGTCAAAGAATATGGAATTTCATTTAACTATTATGCTGATGACTTAGTGATCTATCTCCCTCTCAAATAAATAAATGAATGCAGTGAATTTTGAACCTGAATGAGCATAAAACACAAGTGGTAGTATTCGGGCCTCCTGACCCTCACTCCTACTCGAAAGGTGAAAGCTTCATGTTTGATAAACAAATAAAAGCTGTTGTTAGAGCTAGTTTCTACAAACTGAGGTTCTGAGGCTCTGCTTTGGTTTTGGGTTGTTTTGACAGTCACCATATAAGACCATATTCCCCCTGCTTTGGCTTCTTTGTTGTGTTTAAGAAGGGATTTTAAAATCAGCATGTCTCTACCTTAATGATCTTTTAACTACACAATCTCCCAAAATATCACTGAGGTCGTCTGACCAGATGCTGCTGCATATATCTCAGATCGGGCCTTTGCTGTAGCTGACTCGAAACTTTGGACCTGCTTGCTGCTTCACATCAGGACCTGACCACTGTCTTTTAAAACATATTTTTTATTCCTTGGCTTTTTCTCTGAGTCTTAACATTCGTTATTTGTCTGTATTGTGTTTTTTTTTTTTATTGCTTTTACTGGCTTATTTTATTTTTACATCACTCAGGCTGACGCTTGCTGTTTATATATTTGCTTACAAATAAAATGACTTAATGTTGCAATTTACAATAAATATTAACACAGCTTCCATCAGTTATTCTTCATAAAAACAGCTTATTTATTTCAGGTCTTTCTAATTATGCTAAAATACTATATAATACTATATTGCATTGGGATAGAGGCATATGTGAATATTTGGAGGAGGATGTGTACAATACATCTTGTCATCGACTACACAAAGTGCAGAAGGTACACAAACAAACGAATATTTTTTTTTTTATTAATTCATTTTATTTATTTCAACAAATCATTCAGTGGTGA